ACTTAACTTAGTTGACATTAAGATAATTAAAAACTTTTTCTAAAAATAAAATGTAGCCAATGTAGGTACCTAATAAGATTTACAGAAATGGTTTATTGCCAATATATTATATTAAAAGAAACTTAAACATTTAGTACTACTGTACTGGACACTGGTGAATAAAAGAAGAATAAAAGTTTAATTATAAATAATAAATATTATCATTATAACAATTAATATAATTATTAAGCAATTTAATATTTGGAACAAACCATACAGTTTTTTTAAATATTATTATTAGTTAAAGTGAACATTAAAAAACAACAATTTAATTTTTATAAACATTATATTGGTCAATAACTAGTAATTTGCAATTAGTTATAACCTATTAATATTTATTATAAATGCAATAGGAACTTAGAAAGTTAATTATGCTGGTAAATTGATTCATACAAGTAAAATAATATAAGCATAATTTAAAATGCAAAGTTTTAAACGAGTACCTATAATAAAAATTAAATTGTTTGACTTGTTTTATGTTAATGTTTGATTTATGAATAAACTATGTAATATATTGGACTAAGTTTCATCTTAGTGATCATAGCAAAAAACCTACACACAGCTATAACAGGTATTTAGTTTTTTTTTTATATATTTTGTGAATATAGCAAGAGTCTTGCAAGAGTCTTGCGCAAGACCAAGACCAAGACCAAGACTGAGTCTGCAAGACCAAGACCAAGACCAAGACTGAGTCTGCAAGACCAAGACCAAGACCAAGATTTTGAAAGTCTTGGTCTTGGTCTTGTTTTGATCATCACTACACATTATTAAAATGAATATGTAGCGATTTCCTTATTTTGTTGCAATTCAAAAACGAACAACTGTAGATACATGAAAATTTCACTCAATGTTTAAATTAATATTTTGTATACACCATACAATTTTGAAAATATTTTGACTCTTTTTGAGCTGTTTATGGACATTTACAGCTTTCAATTTTTTTTAGTTTTTTTTCTATAAATATCAATAAAGTTTTATCTGTTGGGCCAAAAAGTGTAAAAATTTAATACAAGGCTCCTGATATATTGTTACAATAGCAGTTGAAAAATATTAAAAATACATAGGCACAGTTTTTTTTTATAAGCATTTAAAGATCAAATTTTGACAAAATTTATCAAAATCTCGAAAATTATCAATCATTGTAATTAATAAATTATAAAATGTTCAGTTTTTATAGATAAGGATTACAAATTCAACACAAAGGTTCTCATAAATAGTTCATACTATAACCAAAAAATCTAAAAAATATATGAACACACTTATTTTTTACAGACATTTTAAATTCAAATTTGGACGAAATTACATATTAAAAAACCTAGAACAACTATTTTAGTTATTTTGTTGTGATTGAATAATATTATTCGTGGGTACTTGAAACTTCTAAAGTGTACTATTATATATCTATGATAGTATCACGGTTTTTGTTGATGTATAACGCGTTATAAGTATCTAATGGATATTGTGATATGATTAATTTGGAATTTATTATAGGTACCTATTATAGGTCAATTTTTTGTTTAATACCATACATATGTATATAATAATATGTCTTATACATAGACTGCCATACCGTCACCGCTCAGAATCGTTTTTCTTATACAATGATATTATATCATTGAATTCAAATTTAATACCATCCATTATACAGTGACCCACTTGTAACCTACTGTACAGCAGAGCGACACCCACTTGCCCACCTTTTTTTATTTTATTTTATTTTATTTTATTTTAAACGCCATACAGCTTTTACAATATATTACTTATTAATGAATATACATTATAACATATTTTTATATATATACATATCTAAACATAACACATTGAATATCAATAAATTAAAATTATACAGTAGTACATAGTAGGCTCCTGAAAATTAAATTTAACGGAACAAAAACCTAAATTAGAAAAAATGTTAAACTAGTTTGACTATTAACTAAAGACATAGCTCTCCTTAAAGGATCATCATCCAAATAATTTTTTGACACTGAAGCATGGTAGTAGGGGTCACGAGAACGGGTTGTACCTGGAATGCGAAAACCTATTCTAGATAACAAGTCTGGAGAGTCAATTACACCAGAGACTAAACCATTTAAAAGTTTAATATCACTCATATTTCTTCTTTCGCTTAGGGTGGATAAATTGAGTGCTATTAAGACGGGTTTATAGTCATGGGGTTCATGATTAATGCCCATAGATTGAGAAACCATGCTTAAGAAACGATGCTGAACACGTTCAATTCGAATAATATCACATTTGGTCCTCGGAGACCATACCACAGATCCATACTCTACAATTGATCTAACTAGAGTAGCATATTATAATATTAACAAACATTTTACAGACATGACCGACCATGCATGTCGCCTAATAAACCCTAATGATCGCAATGCTTTGCCTACTATCCAGTCAATATGAGGTGCAAACGATAACGTTGGAGTAAAAATAAAACCTAAATCTTCAACTTGGTTTATTCGCTGTAACATCACCTTATCAATAGAGTAATCATATTAAATAATTGAGTGACGTCTCGAAAAAGACATAACTTTACATTTATGGATAGCCAGCTCTAACCCAACTGTATTACACCAATGGACTAACTTATTCAACGATTCTTGTAACAAAATAGCATCACTCTCAGATTGAACGCAATTAAATAATTTTACATCATCCGCAAATAATAGCATTTTGCTGTCAACAGATTCGCATAAAGTATTTATTAGAATATTAAATAAAAGTGGAGACAAGTGCCCACCTTGTGGGACTCCGGAAGTGACTAAATATTCCGCGGATTTTTGATTAAATAAGGATACAAATTGTCGTCGACCGGTTATATAGGATTTGAACCAGGATAGCAGAGGTTCACCTACACCCTATCTATCCAGAATATCAATTAACACAATATGGTTTATGGTGTCGAAAGCTTTAGAAATATCAGTGAATATCACATCAACTTGACTCATATTTTTGAAGCTATCCCTGATAAACGCAGAGAATTCTAAGGCACTAGTTGTTGTGGAACGACCGCCATAAAACCCATGTTGATTTGTTGATAAAACTAGTTTAAATCTACGTTCAATACATTTATTAACAATCTTTTCGAATAATTTACCAATTAGAGGTAAACCAGAAATTGGACGATAATTAGATACTGACCCTGGGTCTCCTGATTTGTAAATAGGTGTTACCTGGCTCGTTTTCCATATTGATGGAAATATACCTTCGGCTAATGAGAGGTTAAATAAATACAATAGAGGATATTTTAACTGTGCCCTAATACTAAATAAAAATTGAGCTGATATACCATCAGGCCCACGACTCTTAGTTGTTCTCAGGGATAATAAATTTTCTTCTACCTCATCAAGTTCAATAGTAAGTCTAGAAGGCAGAAATGTAAATGGCTTAATGCCAATATTTTCAGCATTCAATGTGGGGGGGGGGGGGGTAACGATGATTTATAAACGGAATTGAAAAGAAGTGCAAATAGATTTGCAATATCTACGTCTGATGCAATAATATCACCATAATGCATCACATTTGGGATATCTGATGTATTTCGTCGATTATTGATAAACGACCAAAATTTATGTGGGTCATTCTGGAGAGAAGTATTTATCCTACTTAGATAGGACTCATATGCCAACCTTGACTCGAGTTTAACTTGAGCACGTAAAAACGAAAATCTATGACGATAGTGCATTGTGCCAAACTGTTTCAGTTTTTTGTGTGCAATTTTTTTATCAATGATTAAATTTTTCAATTTAAGTGTTACCCATTTGGGGAAAGTTGAGCGACGAAATGTATGAACTGGTACATATTGCTCAATTAACGTTATTAAAATTGTTTGTAGACGACTAGCTGCAGCTTCAATTCCAAGATTATTAAACTCACTTTCCCAATTAATGGTGCTCAGAATATTAGTAATCGAGTTATAATCGGCATAATTAAAATTACGGAATGAGTGTTGATCATCCAATTGAGGTGGCACATCAGGCATGGAATATGTAATGTTTAATGGTGGATGATACTTATCTGGCATAACTAATGAGTCTGGTGATGTGTCAACAACTATGTCTATTTCAGATGTGAAAACAAGGTCAAGGAGTGAACCAGCCTGGTTTCTAATGGAATTATTTTGAGAAAAATCTAAGAAACGATATACATCACCTATTGCCTTGACATTATCATACTATACTACGTACCCGATAATGACAATCCCGAAACATTATTATGCCAATTAACATTTGGTAAATTGAAGTCACTACATATAATTCCCATATTACACCCAGAAGACTGCCACAATTCATCAACAGTTTCAGCATGTGCCGTGTATAACTCGATTGGGGCTGACGGTGGTATATATACTCCTCCTATTAGTAATAAATGTTTCTTAGATATAGATAATTTAATAAATAGCTGTTCAACTGACTGTACAGCACAACATAGTATAGAGGGACATAATGTCTGTCTCACCGCTATCAAGACCCCACCACCTCTAGTGCATGTACTGGTATATGCATTTCTATCAGCTCTGAATATTGTAAATCCAGTAAAACCTAATTCTGCATTCACAATATCTGAGGAGAGCCAAGTCTCAGTTAGTATAAATATGTCATAATTAAGTATAGGAAAATTAGATATTACATCATGTAACTTAGTCCGGAGCCCACGAACATTCTGATACATAATTTTAAGATTAAACTTAGAACTAAGACTAATATTAGGTAAGTTACATTGCAAATTATAAGATAAATTATTTTTATTATTATTTGAATAAATATGCGACTTAATATTATTAACAGGAATATTGGAATTAGTATGTATTTTAATAAAATCAGTAAATTCTATTAAAAAATTATCAAACAAAAGGTTAGCATTAGTACATTTATTACAAGTTGAATTAAAAGAAACATGCAAATTAGAATTAAGTAATTCATTAAGGTATGATTGATTATTCACTGGCCTCAATCCCGACCAGTGACTCCGTTTTTTGAGTGTGACTTTGTAACCGTAGGGACACCTTTAACATAAGATATTACTAAATTTGATTCGCCTGATTTATTTCTATTCTCGAGTTCTATATGAGCAGTACGGAGTAGCTCCCGTTCCAACGAAGTCTTGTCTCGGATTATTCGAAGACCATCACGAATACTACTTCCGCTTCTAACTGCCTGCCTGAATTCGGATATGAGTTGAGCTGCATTTTCTTTTGACTTACAAATTATTTTTATCGGTCTAGGTTTCTTGGCCTTATTATTACCAAGGCGAACTAATTTGAAATCAATAGGTAAATCAATTTGAATGGGTGACAAAGCACTAGATAGCTCAGGGCAATCATCGGAGATTCTTTGATTAATCGAAGGTGAATCCGACTCAGGAAGACCATATATAATTACGTTATATTCAGAAGAATTTCTCTCAGAAATTTCACGAAGTAGCTTTGACGACACTTCAGAATCCGAAGTGACGGCCGGTTTTGATTCCAACTGAGCCACTCGAGCAGAAAGTGCAGACGATTCCTGACGAAGTGCCATGTTCTCGTTTTTAAGCTCAGAAATTTCATTTTTTAAAGAGGTCAAACATCCATGGAGTTCTTGAAATTATACCGATTGAGAATTTTGTATTTCAAGAATAGCTTTCATTAAGTCATCATTAGAGTAAGTATTATTGGTCCTCTTAGACATCGAAGTAGATGTACTACCATTTGAGGCACTACGAAGAACAGGACCACTTCCTAATGGGCTATTTTTAGAAGAAATATTGGATTTAGTTATCGGGTTCATGACAAGGCAAGATAGGTAAATTGTTGGACAATTAAACTAAAAATACTGCCTAGAATGACTTGAATAGGCAAAACAATTTGCAGCAAACATGCGACCGAGAATAATGATAATATGTAACGGTTCCAAATTGAAGATAACGCCGTTCCGTATTATTACGGGTATTAAATTGATGACACGGAGTGTTCGATCTGACCTTGACACGTGCCGGATAACTATTATCTCGTTTGTGCGCTGTGCAGACTGCAGACCGAAATATAACGATAAGATATAATATAGTATTATTACCTTAGTAAGTCAGTTGAGATGTAGAAAACTGTCCTTAACGGAAAATACTTTAAGCGATCAGACTCAACAACGACACCTGATCACACACGCACTTTTTTTACATACGTAGGATTTTTAAATTCAAAAAACGGTCAACTTTTTCCAACTAAAAACGTGAAAGAACACGGAGCGAATGTTACATATATACACGTTTGATCTATTATATTATATATTATATTATATTATATATATTATTATATATTATTATATGTTATATTACACTCTATAGACACAAAAAATAAAAACGATTGGAATATTCATGGATCTGAGCAAAGCATTTGACTCAGTATGCCATAATAAATTATTAATATATCTCAATAAAATAGGCATTAAAGGAAAAGCTCTATTAGTATTTAAATCTTACTTAGACTGCAGGCGCCACAGAGTTAAAATAGTCGATATCTTAAGTGAGAGTAAAACTATGACCTGTGGTGTTCCGCAAGGCACAGTATTATCACCGTTACTATATATAATATAATATGTTCTGGAATTGTCCAACTTAAAACTTGATGGAATTATATATTCTTATACAGATGATACAGCATTAGTTGTGACAGGTGAAACATGACAGTCAGTAGCTAAAATAGCAGAAAATTCCTTAAGCAAAATAATCGAATGGTTCTCTAATAATAATTTATCACTAAATTATAATAAAACTGTTGGCATCACATTTTCAAATTCAATAAAAACATCGCCCAATATGTCTAGTATTAAGCACATGACAAATAATTTAGGTACATCCATTTCACAGTGTAGCTGTATAAGTATAAACAAAGTTGATAAAACCAAATATTTAGGCGTCACATTTGATCAACACTTAAGATGGAACTTTCATATATCGGAGCTTAATATGAAACTGCACAAATTATACACATTTTACAATATGTCAAAACACTTTTTAAATATTCACTGGCTAAAAAATACTATAATTTAACACAATCCCTGATAGAATATGGTAGGTATAGTAGTTTGTGGTAACGCGGCACAAACCCATATAAATTGTTTACAGATAGCAAAAAACACCTCCTTAAAAATAATCTATCACAAACCTAGGCTTTACTCATCCAAAAATGTATACTCCGAAGCCAAAATATTAACGGTAAAACAATTATATTATAAAAAAACTATATATTACATGTCAAAAAAAAATTCAATACAACTGGTCGTTCATACTTATAACAGAAGAACTGAAAAGTTAATACATCCAAAAATGAACACAACTAAATGCAACAATAGCTATATGATAACTGGGTTGAAACTTTATGAAAAAATACCCATTTCTATAAAAAAACTATCCAAACTTTGATACCTTTAAATTATTAATTAAGAAATGGTTATTGACAAATGAAGTAAATCCTTAGGTTAACACACAAATGACATACCTTTATTTTTAATTTTATCTTTATTTTGCTCTTATTATTCATTTATGTTGTATACAAAAACGTCAAAATCTCTTTAAAAACTCGCGATTGTTATTTATATATAGATAGGTAACTTCAAGAAACCTTTTTATTATTATTTATTCATTTATTTTAATTAATTAATATTATCAATTTAATCATTTTAATTATATTCTTTTAGAGACTTACGTCTATCAATACAAGGAAACATCCTTAGTGATAGACGTTGCAGTGTAATAATAAATATTAATTATGTAAATATTATCTACAAAAACTGCTAAATAAACATTCATTAGGTATTAAATTAGATAACGCGATGTTATACAAAGGTTAATAAATTGTTTACAAAATTCATATTGATAATGCACACAGAATCATATTTAATCTACTTTGGTGTGTACTATTCGCTAGTGATTTTTGTCGGTCGTTATAATATTTCAATTTAGTCCTGGTAAAATTGATACAACAATATGTATTTACCAGTTATTCTAACTTTAATGTTGATTTTTGTAACAAAACTAACAATTTGTAATGAAAGGCCAGTGATTGGAATACTAACACAAGAAGTTTATTGGTCTCGTCTAAACAATTTAAAACCACATGATAAATCGTATATAGCTGCATCTTATGTTAAAGCAATTGAAGCTTCTGGAGGGCGAGTTGTACCAGTTTTCACAAACAGGACTACTGAATATTATACGTATGTAACAATGGCATATCTCAAAATACAATTATCTATATTATAAAATGTTTTAGGGATGTAGTGAACAAAGTAAATGGAATTTTGGTCCCAGGAGGAGGATGGTCGTTTAATACTAGTTTCGGAATCAGTCATTCTACAAATGAAGTTTTTCACAATGCCAAACGTGTAATTAATTTATAATTTAATAAATCAATTTATTTTTTAGGTTTTTTATAAAGGCCAAACATTTTGGTGATTCCTAGTTACGTTGTATGGCGGATATTTTATTGAAGTGATTTGAGATTTCTGGTGATAAAGTGATTTCAAAATTCAGGGGCCAATGTATAATGTGTATATTGTATACAATGTGGCCAATGTATATATCCATCTGTATAATGTGTTCCTCTTATAAATAAAAAAAAAAATGTGAAAATCCCACTATTAAAATCCTTATTCATTCCTATCAAGTGGATATGTTCAAATAGTAGATTTAATTTTTATGTAAGGACTAAATTATATTTAATCAACGCAAAATCCAAAAATTTCAATTTTTGCTTGCCGAAACAAACCAGCTGTGTGGATCTATTTTTAAAAAATCATTTATTAGTTCACCCCTATATTGTGGTTAGTATGACAATTTAAAATCTCCAAATATCACAGTTTCGTAGTTTTGGCAGTACGTTGATTAGTCAGTCATTATATATTTAAGATTTTGAGTGGAACGATTTTACAATGACGTGTGTTTTTTTTTGTTTTATTATTTTTTTTTTTTGTGTCTGTGTACACGATTAGTAGGTAGTCGAAATAATGCTTCGATTTTCAACTTCGGTATCTTGTTCGATGGAAAAGTGAATCTAGATGGTACTTTTGGGAGGTATATTATATTAAGTATTAACTAGGCCAGCGGTCCTCAACCTTTTTATATCCACGTACAACCTACACAGTTTGAAAATTTTCATGTACCACTTAACTAAATAATGTTTTTTTTTTGCTTATCAAAAATTTTATTTTACCTACATGTTTACGGAATTAAATTTTATTAGGAACTACAAAATTATGACAATAGTATAAGCATTTAATCCATAAAAATAAAATAAAATATGTAAAATTATTATTAAATATATCAAATATACCAAATAATTTCTAATGTGAACGATCTATTCCATTTTGGTGTTCTTAGCGTACCTCCTATAAGCTTTCCGCGTACCAAATGTAGAGAACGCTGAACTAGGCATTACAATTATAGTATCCTAAACTTCTAAATGGCTCTTTATTACATATGAAAATAATAAATCAAATTTAAAAACAGATTTCTAAAGACTTGAACATTTACTACTAGATCTTGATTATTATTACTATTATAATAAACATTAAAGTTAATAATGTTTTAGATTCTGAGTGAAACGATGAATGTATTGATTTTACAATGATGTGTGTTTTATTTTTTATTTTTTTTTGTGTCTTTCATCACGTTTTAGGACAGTAAAAGTGCTTGGATTTTCTTCAACAGTATCTTTGCTGATAGGAAAGTGAATATAGTTGGTACTTTGGGGGGTCAAAAGAAAAAATTTCCCAGTAGTTTTCACTAGCGCCGGGAAAAACAACATAAAAATTAAGGAAAAACGGGAATTTTTACGCAAAATCGATTTTGGCTTTTGGTGTAACTTTAAAACAAATGACCGTAGATACATGAAACTTTCACTGGTTGTTTATACTTGTATTTTCTATACACTATAACATTTTCATAACATTTTCAGTTTCCAATTTTATTAGTTTTTTTTTCTATGAATGTCAATAAAACTTTATTTGTTGAGTAAAAATACTTGAAAATTTAATACAAGGCTCCTACTATATTGTTACAAAAGCAGTTGTAAAATATTAAAAATACACATACTAAATTTTTTTTTATTAGCATTTAAAGATCGAATTTCGACAAAATGTATGTAATGTTATTTTGTAGTTAAAAATGTATTAAATGTTGAACTTTTATATCCAAGGATTGAAAATTTAAAACAAGATTCCACGTATGTAGATAAATCTGTTACCAAAAAATCTAAAAATACATAACCACAGTTTATTTTTATAGTCATTTTAAGTTCAAATTTGGACGAAATTACATTTTAAAAACCTAGAATAACTATTTTAGTTATTTTGTTGTGATTGTATAATGTTATTCGTGGATACTTGAAACTTCTAAAGTATACTACTATATATCTACTATCTATAGGTACCTAATGGATATTGTGATATGATTAATTTGGAATCTATTATAGGTACCTATTATAGGACAATTTTTTTTTTAATACTATAGATATGTATATAATATGTCTCATACCTAGACTGAC